ATTTAATTAAAGAAATGGAAAATAAAGTGAAAGTTATCCAAGATAATCTTAAGATAGTGATCTGAAGAGAAAATAGATTGAATATCAGGTGGGAGATTAGGTATTTTTGAAAGTATCCCCTTGTAAGAAAGTATTACAGTTCGATCGCAAAGGAAAGCTGAGTCGGATATTCATTGGACCTTATGAGATTTTGAAAATGGTCGGACCAGTAGCATATCAATTAGCTTAGCCTCCTGATATGGACAAGATCCACAATGTTTTTCATGTGTCGATGCTCAGAAGGTACCGATCAACCCATCCCATATTATCACACCAGAGAAAAGAGAGATCCAACCAGATCTGACTTACAAGGAAGAACCAGTGCAAATCTTGGCTCAAGAAAGCAAGAAACTGCGTAACAAGAAGATACTTCTAGTTAAAGTACTTTGGTGAAACCATAAAGTAGAAGAAGCTACTTGGGAAAGAGATGAGGACATGAGGAGCAATTTTCACACCTCTTCGCATCAGGTACTTCTTAAAATTCAAGGACGAATTTTCTTAAGGGGGAGAATTGTAATACCCCAAATATCAGATAGGTGACCATAGTGAAATAATTTAAATTATGATGGATTAAATTGAGTAAAATTGAAAAGTATAAGGGAATTATTTAAAAAATTATGGTTGAGACTTATTGGTAAAATGGAAGAATGGAGGGGCAAATTGGTCATTTAGAAGAAATGAATTTAATATTCATTTAAAATAGGGTTATTAAATAAAAATTAATAGGAGAAATTAAGGGATAAGTCTGAAAGTTCTCACCTCCTCTTTTCCTCACATCCCAAGCCCCCTAGCAAAGGTAAGGCTTTAATTAGTTGGTTTTTCCTTTCATTTTTAGGTTGGTTTTGAAACCTTATGTAATATAGAGGCTTAATGAAGGTAAGGAGGATTAAAACTAAGAGATAAAGGTTTTATATGAGATTTCATAAAATGGGTTTTTAAATGATTTGATGAAATATGGTTAGTTATGGAAGATTTAAGGCATTTTTGACTTTTCAAAGAAGTAAATAATAGATTAGAAGCCTTGAATGTGATTAAAAACATGTTGGAAAAAGTAGTGTGATTCTTGATTTGGAGTGTTCTTTTGAGAATTTGGATGTTATAGGAAGATTAATGAAGGAAAGTTAGTTGGGTTAAGTGACGTTAAGTTTAAGGGTATTGTTAGGGGTAAAAGAAAGAGAATTTAAAGAAATTTGGGTAAAACTTGAGCTGAAAATTTGAAAATCTGGGTAAAGGTATCGATACTGGAAGAACAGTACCGATTCTATAGGTTTAAATTTGGGGAAATTCGATACAATGGATTCCAAAATGCATAAATGGTATCGGTTCCGAAGGGAGTATCGGTACCATAGTATAGAAGTATTAATACCATAGAAGGGGTGCCGATACTAAGCAACCTGAAATTTCAGGTTAGGATGAGCTTAAATAGAATTCGAGAATAATAGTACTTTTGAGTATTATTTATGTGCATAAATGTTAGAAAGTAAACTTACATTTGTATTGTATGTGTGATTATGGATGCTTGTGTAGATCGTAATCAAGCTCCTGAGTCAAGCAAACAGAAAGGCAAAGATAAAGTCATCGATTAGTCAGATTTACATTTTGGGTATAATATCGAGGCAAACCAGGTAAGTTCATTTATTATGTACTTATATGTTATGATAGTCATAGATGCATTTTTCTTAATGCATGTATTGCATTTACCGAATGGGCACTGTGTGTGCAACTTAAGAAATTCATAATAAGTTTATGAATTTACGTATTGGCACTGTGTGTGCAACTTAAGAAATCATAATGAGTTTATGAATTTCCGTATTGGCATTATGTGTGCAACTTAAGATATTCATAATAAGTTTATGAATTATGTATTGGCACTGTGTGTGCAACTTAAGAAATTCATAATGAGTTTATGAATTTCCATATTGGCACTGTGTGTGCAACTTAAGAAATTCATAATAAGTTTATGAATTTCCGTATTGGCACTATGTGTGCAACTCCACGTAATTCATAATGAGTTTGTGAATTACCGTATTGGCACTACGTGTGTAAACCATAGAATTTATAATGAATTGTAATAGTCAATTGGTATTTTAATTGTTATAATATACTCGTGTTTAGAATTTACCTTATGATTGTTATGCCTCAGTAAGTGATTACTTAAAGTGTGTTAATTCCACGCGTAGGTATTAATACGAGAGGAGTAAGGAGTGCAATTGACATCACAAATCAAGGGTCGCCTCATCAGTAGCTGTACGACATCTATGTCTACTTTTGATGCTGTTAGTTGGCATGTAATAGAATTATGAAAATGCTTTGAAAAATAGTTGAATTACGATGATGTAACATTTTAATATGCTCGAACTTTAATATTTGTTTATGTCCTATAAGTTAATGAAAAGTTTTATAATTATTAAACTTAATGTTTTAAGATTTAAAAACAAAATTTTAATGGTTTTTCAAAAGCGGAAAGTTTTAAAAGTTATGTAACATCTGTTACTCGTGTACGGAAACGTATATGAGAAATGGGTGTTACAGATACTCAGGGTCCAGTATTAATACTCAGAAGGTCAATATCGATACTGAAGTATTTATGAAAACATCGAAGTCAAATTTGGTATCAATACTCAGGTTCCAGTATCGATACTCAAAGGGTTAGTATCGATATTGAGGCATTTTTGAAAACATCGAAGCCAAATTTGGTATCGGTACTCATGGGAGTATCGATACCCAAGGTAGAGTATCGATCCATAGGAGAATTGATACTAAGGTTTTTTTTCAAAACATTGAACCAAATTTTGGTATTGATATTCATGGGAGTATCGATACCTAGGGTAGAGTATATATATTAAGGTTTTTTTCCAAAACATCGAACCTAATTTTGGTATCCATACTCAGGTGATTATCGATACACAAGGGGTCAATATTGTTACTGAGGGCACAATATCGATACCCACAATGATTTTTGGCAATTTTGGTTTAATCAGTTTGGGTGTTTGGGCTTGGGTGTTTTGAGTTCGCTTAAACTTCAAGTATTTGATACAAGTGAAAACAATCAAGTTAACTAATTCTCACCTAGAAATCAAGCAATTTAGCATGACATAAGATTTTCCTTTGTATGATGCTCGGTAAACGGTCTGGATACCCGAGTTACTCTAGCATTATGAGGATCGTCATTTGTTTGTGAAATATCTGGATATTGTACATTGGTATGCATTTAATGCATGTAAATTTTGGGTCGTACCAGTACAAATTTCGATTCGCTTAAATTCCGGAATTGTACCTTATGCTCGACTAGATTCGAAATGTGATCTTCCGATGCACGTAAATTTCGATCCTCACCTCGACCTCTCGAGTGTCTGAGATAAACTAAGGGTTATAATTTTCGATGCACGTAAATTCTGGTTCTTACCCTGAAGCTATCACGTTCTAGATAGACTAGTGTGTTATCCGAGATGCACGTAAATTCTTCCAACAACGCCACTTGGCCTATCTTATGTTTGTTATGTACTTTCGCATGTTTATGACTTTGCACACTAGCATCTTCATGAAATGTATGTATGTATAGTTATTCTTATGGCACTGAGCTTGAGAGCTCAGCGTATGGAATGTATTTCCATGCGCATGTTAGTAGAGGGATCATCAAGGAGCCTATTGCATCAGTACATTCCAGATCAACCATTGCAGAGTATATCTTGAGTCTATTTTAGAGGGCATGTATTTTATAAGGACCTTTGTATGATCGAATCATAACTCTAATTTAATTTAAATCTTACTGGTTGCATTGAACGTATTCGGGAGAATCCCATATTTTGTAAAATTGATTTCGATTATGTTTAATTTATGATGAATGATTTTGATGTCATTAAATGTTTTTTTTAAATTTAGGTTGATCATTTCAGTGGTTTCGTGTGGCATCATAATCCAAGGATCTTCGAGTCGGACTGATTAGGGTGTTACATAAAATGTTGTAAGTTATTATTGAATTAGTGGCTTAACCTAGTGGTTTAGGCATTTTTGGTGGATCAGTAGGTCGCTCAATCAAACCCCACAATTGCAAACTTATTTCTTTGGAATGTTTTGTATCGAATAAGGTGGTGATTTGATTGAATAAAAATAAACTAAAATAATCAATTAAATTCATAAAATATTCTCTAATTTGGTAATGACACGTGTCACCACCTAATTAGAGATGAATTTATTAAATTGAAACAAAATTATGATCAAATTGAAAGTATGTGTAAATATTGAGAATCAAAAGTATAATTATACCATTTTTATTATCTACCACGCCAACGCTTCCGTTAAATGTTAACGACAAGTGGTCTGGTTGAATGTATTTAAATATTTAGATTACATGATTGGAAAATATTCACACACAAAAAAGATGGTCGAAATGAAAAATGACTATAATTATGTGGTCACTGATATAGTTTTTTCATTACATTATCATCTCCATATCAGAGTTTTTTCACCCTCTAACCAAACCAAACCCGATCCGAGCTCACTCCATCAAAAAATCCGACCTGACTCGACCGAATTTAATTTTCTTTTTTTTTAAAAATCCAATCCTAATGGATCGGGTTGGATCGAAACTTGTCGATTTCTGGTTAAATTACCCACCCAACTCTTAGCGAGTAGGAAATGCAATTGATGATTGTTTGGCAAGGATGATTCTAGATGATCCGATAGGAGAGAAATTGTTTGTTTTGGCGTCGATTAGTGTAGCTGCGCTATTCCAGCTGCAAATTCAATCTTTTGAGTAATTAGTTGATGCTCTTTACCCCAAAAAAAAATCAAATTGATATATTAAAGGTAAGTAAATTAAAACAAATATCAAATATATCTCCCACAATATTTTCCAACTCATGAAAAGAGACTTCTTCAATTTACATAGAGTGGGCCCCCATCATTGTTTTATGATATGGCCCGACCATCATTGTATTATAGTAGATTTTGGTAAAGGTTTTAATTTTGGGATAAAGGTTTGACCAAAAGCTGTTTCTCGTTGAGCCGTGAAGTAACCTACAAGAGAAAAACATGTGGATTTTTGGATGGAAAGGACCGTCTGGCTTTTCTGCTTCTTCTACAGCAGAGGATGTTGCTCAAGGGGTTGATGGAACTGCTCTCACTGCTATTGTTACAGGTGTTTCTGATGTTTCTTACACTCCTTTTTCTGATCTGGTTTTTTGTCTTGTATTCATTATAACTGTCATGTTCTTAAGCTAAACTTATGTTTGTTTGATCGGATAGTTTTGGGAAATTTTCTATTTACAGTGGCAACTTGGTGGGTCATTGGCTTTCGGATTTATCACTTCATTAATTGCCTAGAAATATTAATATTGCTCAGGTATAAAGTAAAACAAGTGATTTTTTTATGAACTTGGTGATGATTTTCTTGCACAAAAATCATGCATAATTTTTTTTCTTATGGAAATCTGGCTTGCTAGTTCTGGGTTGTGTATATCAGTTAATTTACTTGCTTTATCAGATCTCCGGCATAATTAGTGGGTGTTATTGCTGTTAGTGTGGGTATGGCGGTTGTATAATAATGGTTTCGAATGGTACTTTTACCATCATATAAAGGCCGCTATTTCGCTACGAGACAGCTATTTAAATCCCTGATAAGGACTTTCCTGAAAGCAGAATATGAGGAGGGTGGGGGGAGAACCTACTTCATGCTTGACAATTGATCACCATTACAGCCCCTTGGTGCTTTGATGTCTCTCTTGGTTCATCACCATTAGGCGCAGGCTTCATTTTCAACCCATCAAAACCTTTAAGATATGATTTGGTTGCTTACATCAGTTCATTTCAGGAGCATCAAGCGGTATCGGCATGGAGACTAGCCGTGTTCTCGCATTGCGCAGTGTCCATGTGATTATGGCTGTAAGGAATGTGGGTGCTGGTAGGAATGTGAAAGAAGCAATACTCCAAGAAATACCTGGTGCTAAGGTTGACGCTATGGAATTAGATCTGAGCTCAATGGCATCAGTTAGGAAATTTGCATCAGATTATCAGTCCTCTAATCTTCCCCTAAATCTCCTAATGTAAGAACTCTAAATTGCTGCAAGTTCCATCATTACGGTCTCGTCTTCATTAGCACACGTGTGTATGAACTAATGTTTCTTTGTGCCTATGATTGCTAATGTTATTGCCATTTTCTTTCTTTGCTTAAAAGCAATAATGCAGGGGTTATGGCAACTCCTTTCAAGTTATCCCACGACAACATCGAACTGCAGTTTGCAACCAACCATTTAGGTCATTTTCTTCTAACAGATCTGTTGTTGGAGACCATGAAACACACGGCACGAGAAAGCAACATAGAAGGGAGGATCGTTAATTTATCTTCGGAAGGTCACCGGTTTGCGTATAGCGAGGGAATCCGTTTCGATAAAATTAATGATGAATCTGGGTAAAAAGAACTTATGACTGGCTTCACCAGTGCAATATCTTGGATGAATAGTTGCTATCTAGTCTAATATCTCTATGAAATGCTTCACTTGTTTCTTTCTTCTCAATTTTCAGATACTCTGTTTGGTCTGCTTATGGACAATCAAAGCTTGCTAACATATTACATGCCAAGGAGCTTGCTAGGCGATTAAAGGTAATAGAATGCGTTTCGATTTCTCCGAGATTTACGATCTGTACAATCCAATGCATTTTACACAATACTTGTACACCATTAATGTTCCAAGTAGGATCTAATCTAAGAATGCTTTTTTCCCCTTTTTCTTCACAAACAGGAAGAGGGGGTTAACATTACAGCAAATGCACTTCATCCTGGAGCAATTATGACCAATCTTACGCGCCACCTTGGTTTAATTAACAGTAATCCTTCGAACCATTTAGTGGATAGTGTTTTGAAGATGGTTTTATTTTCTTGAAATATGACCATCCATGGCTGTTGGAAAAGCTTAGAAAATATTGAACATGCTCTTGTTCAACGCATACTTATACCTAACACACTTACTTGAGTTCGAAACATGATATAAAATTGCGTGACAGTGGCTTGTTTCGACCTGATCTCGAGATTTCTGATCGAATACATCTGCTTGATGCAGGCATTGGTCATATGTTTGGCAAATACTTCCTCAAGAATGTTCAACAGGTATAATCGCTTACGAATAGAAGATAAATTAAGATGGATACAAGCTCAGATGCATACGCTGTTTTCTTTTGGTTGTAGGGAGCTGCGACCACATGCTATGTGGCTTTAAATCCGCAAGTTAAAGGCGTTAGCGGAGAATATTTCTTGGACAGCAACAAAGGTAACCCGAGCTCTAAGGCTAAAGATGCAGATTTGGCAAAAAGGCTATGGGACTTCAGCTTCACCTTGACCAATCCCAAGTAGTTAAAGGTGTTTGCATTCTGCCTTTTATCCATGAAATCGTAACTGTATGACTAGACTTACGTTTAAGATGATCCATGTTTAGTGCCGGTACTCTTTATCATGTAGTTATATAAACATGCAAAGTGTATGTGGAATGATGTCAGTTTTATGAAGATTTGGATGACAAGTGGAACACGTATGGTCTCAGAAAATGAAGAGATTTCTATGCTACACTGCAAACATCTGCAAATGTCGTGCTCAAACTCAAGATCTCAAGGGATAATAACCATTTCTTTAACCATTGAAATTGCTTGATCGTATTATCATTGGAAAATGGCATAAACTGAGCATGTTTTCATTTCTGATTCAATATCAACGTAACAGTTTGAATCACCAAGAACCAAATCTTTAAATTACAAGACATAAGTAGAGAACAAGACATGAAGTAATGAAGTACGTTAAACATTATATGGTATACTAGGATTTAAATTACTTCTAAGTTGTTTTGCATATATTGCGATTGCAAATATAACAAACATTTTTACGATGATTATTGTAGGTATCACAGTCATGAAATAATAGTTTTAGACAAACCACTACTGTTATGTAATGACTGTTATTTTGATTGTGGATTGTTGTTCGTATGGAACACCGAAACAAGATCAAAAACCTCTTACCAAACCGTGCCAAATCTCAAATGCCTGCTGATCCTTACGGGGTCACAAACATCCCATGTTGGTTATCCTTCACCCTCCCATCTCCTTCACTCTCTCCAGCATATTCTTCCTTCAAGCCATTCTCCTCATCGCCATCGCAGCTCCAGGCCAAACCACTTACGACCTCCGCCCACAACTCGATATCCCCTCCTTTGCTGTAAAATACTTGATTCCCATGGCTCTCAATTTTGCATCGAAACCCTTCATTCTTCCCATTAACAACATTCCTCTTATACCCAACACAAATCCATGGATTAGTACTATTATCATTCACACCACCTAAGCTCCTAAAATCTGCATAAAAAAAAAAAACTCACAGAGTTCACTCCAACCTTAAAGATTGCATTTAGATTATTCAAAAACACAAACATCCGAAAAGCAATGGACTTTCTTCTTCAATTCAAAGACCATCTTATGTCCCAAAACCTAATGTTACCCGGCATGACAAAATCGGCCCATCACAGTCTACGAGCTTTTTATTTAGTCCAATACGATAGAAAACACTTTATTTAGGAAACTACGACATTTTTTTACAGTATTGGGGAACTCATCCCTTTCACATGACGAGTTCCCCCGAAAAATATATTTTAATGGACCCAGTTGTGGGATCCAATAATTTATAATATTTCTTGGAACTTGTTACGTAGTCATGACGAGTTCTATTAATTTTTTTTTAAAATTTAGAGATTTATTTTTTCATAATAATTAATTTTTAAGAAAACCATAGAACTCATCATGTCATAGTGATGAGTTCCTATTTGTTCAAAAAAGTAGTCATTGAGCAACGGGTATAAGGACCTCGTCATGTGGGAGTGACCAGTTTTAATGATCATATTGATATTTTTTACTAAATAAAATAAAAACTACTAAATTTTATATTCGGAGCATTAGCTCATACATTATTACATTAGAAACATTAACTCCTGCATTATATTAGAAGCATTAACTCCTAATTACATTACAATACAATAGAAGTATTGAGCCGTTACTCCAACATCTTAGTCTACATAGTCAGTTAACTCGTCAGATGTTAAGTTAAGTTCTTCAATCTTCCATTCTTTCTCTTGTTTCCTTCTATATATAAATAGTTCAATTTCTTGAAGTTTAGCTTCTATATTGTCTGATGCGTCTTGAGATTTTGTTTTTGATGTGGAATGAGTTGCAACTTGCTTATGATACTCTCAACAAATAAGTCAATATTACTCACCGAATTGGTAATTTACGTGTCAATCATTATTTGAACTACAACATCATTATTCAGATAGCCAATTGATTATTGTTGTGGGACCAAAGAGGTTGAAAACCTAAATTGTAGTAAAGAAAGTGTTGAATCTTCATTAGCTCTATCCTTGTTTGAAATTTTCATCATCAAGTTGAAAAATCGAATCTCTCTTGAAGGAGATAGTGAAAGATTTTCCCTCACAATAAATTATTGTTGAAATTGTTGCCATGGAAATCTTCAAAATAAAAACTTGAACAATGAAATTGTGTCTTTCATATAGGCAAGAGTATATAGCACTGAAATGTTATGGTAAAATAATTATGATAGTATGATCAATTATTAAATATGGCCAACAAGTTTAGAAATAAGGTGACATATTTCTGAAAAGAAAAATGATGTTTTAAATTCAGATATCACTGAAAAGTCATTGTGAAATTATTATAATAGGGTTTGATCAATTATTAAATAAGCATTGAAAAGTTCAGATATTAGGTGATATGTCAATGAAAGGAAAAAGGGTGTTTTTCATTCGGATATCACTGAAAGACTTTTTGAGGTGATATATCACTGAAAAGTCATGGTGAAATTATTATGATAGGGTTTAATCAATTATTAAATATGATCAACAAGTTTAGAATTGATGTGATATATAACTGAAAAGTCATGGTGAAATTATTATGATAGTGTCTGGTATATCACTGAAAAGTTCAGAAATGAAGTGATATATCAACTAAAAAAATTCAGAAATGACAAAATATATCACTGAAAAATTCTCTATCATTTTTCATTCAATGGTCACTAAAAAGAAAAATGGTTTTTTTCATTAAAATGGTCAAAAAAATCATTCAATGATCTAATATATCACTAAATTGAGTTGTTATATCCCTTAAAATACAAAGTACATCTTGGTAGGGTCTTTTAAATTGATTTATGTTCTTTGAATCTTAAAAAAAATCTACCTTTTACAACTTCCTTGAATGTCAAAAAAAATTCAAACAATGACTAACAAATTTTCACACTTGTCCATTCCAATGGCCAAATTCTACAAACTGATGATGGTGTTATGCTTATGTCATAGAGGCCCGTAAAAATGATGTTCCCTATAGATGTATCTCGTCGCCACATGAAGCAGAAAATTGAAAAAAAAACCGTTGGAGCTTTTGTTTCATGTTTGAGCTATCGACACATAATCTCATAAACTCCACTCACATATGGAGAAATCCAGCTTGATGATGATGACTAAGGGTGAGCGTTCGATCGAGTCGAGTAAAAAAATTTCGAGTTGTTGATTTCCATTTTATAACTGAGAGTTGAATTGAAATTTTTTAGTTGAGTCAAATTTATAAAAATCGAGTTGAGTCTAGTCGAGTCAAATTTTTGAGTTTCTATCTAAATTTAATTGTAAATATTTACAATATTATGAAATTATTTGATTCTAATTTAAATGATATTTTATAACCTTATACAATACTGTATAATTTTTTCATATCTTTTCATATGTAATATACATATATCGTCCGAAGACGACAAACTTAACTCAAACTTTGACTCAAACTTTAAAATCAATCTACTAATTACTAAACATTTGGAGCTATTTGAGTAGTATTTTACAACTCGATTTGAACTTGAAATTTTTTCGAGTCAAGTCGAGTTTATGAAATTGCAACACGAAGTCAATTAGAGTCGAGTTTTTTCAAGTCGAGTCGAGTTTTGTTCACCCCTAATGATGACGATGTTGCTGTTATGGTTGGACTACATCAATCAACAAATAATCAAATGATCGAGATTTATGCTGAAACAACAAATGCAGTAGATCTTCCTATGTCATCAACAACTGCACCATCCTTAGAATAATTAGGAATATCTATACCGAATGGAAGTGGTGCAAATGATAACCTGGTTGGGAGATTCGGTGAAAGCCTTGTTGAGTTTAATGAGGATGATGAAACTGTCATTCCAATGATGGAAGATGGCGACACATCAATATTTGATGATTCGAATATCATTGAGGTTGCCTCAGAGCGACAAGGTTTCGATATTGAGGGGATGTCTGGAGGTAGTGGTTTCACACGATCATGGATTGCAAAATGCTCCAAGGGTTGGGCCCATTCACCTACACCCCCTCAACCCCAAATGCCTCAATATCATCATCTAGTTCCAACACATCACTACAGCAAAATAGAGTTTTAGCGGTGTTTTTTAGTCTTATAGCGGCGTTTTTAAGCGCCGCTAAAAGTATTTGCGGCGATAGGAAAAACGCCGCAAGAAGCGCAGGCAATACTAGCGCTGCTAAAGTTAGCGGCGTTTGAGAACAAAAAATGCCGCAATAGGTCAATATCTATTACGACGTTTTTTGAACAAACACCGCAAAAGGTCGATATCTATAGCGGCGTTTTTGGAATAAACGCCGTAAAAAGTTATGATATATAGCAGCGTTTCTAGAAAAAATACCGCAAAAGGTCAGATCTATAGCGGCGTTTTTTGATACAAACACCGTAAAAGAGAAGACCTATACTGGCGTTTTTAGAACAAACACCACAAAAGGTCAGACCTATAGCGGCGGTTTTGGACACAAACGCCGCAAAAGGTCAGACCTATAACGGCGTTTGTGAACTCAAATGCCGCAAAAAGTCATACCTATAGCGGCGTTTTTGGATACAAACGCCGCTAATTACCTTTCTTTAGCTAATATTAATTGATTTTGCATATTTCATTTCTGCTATACATCACCTAAATTTATATCTAGCTTTATCTAATTAACAACAACCATACATTTTAATTAAGACAAAAAACATAGAGAAAAATACTTAACAACAAAATAAATTAAAGTTTTTTTATGGAGAGAGAACCTTAAAAGACATTAAAGTATAAATGAGTTACAACTGAACCTCAATGTGTAGATATACATGGATTTATTGTTCGATACATCCTCAATTTCACTAGCGTCATCATCATAACCTCCAGATATGCCTTCTAAAGCTACTTTGTTTCCCACTTCATTGGAATTTGTCATATTCATCGTCTTGACATCTTATTTAAAAGTATCATTTGACAATGAATGATCTCTCCTCAATAGATTAAAAACAAATGGGAAAGGTTGTGCCAGTCTATTGAAGAAACCGCTTTTTGTTGAAGTTTGTTCTTCAAGATTACTGCAATTACAATAATTTAGATGAGACTAAGAAGAGAAGGAAACAACCAGCAGAACTTGCATTCATAACATACATGTGAGTGATTGAGAACTGAAAAAAGATGTTGCAA